ATTTTTTTACAGTTTTTGTTTAACAAACCATGCATTTAAGTGAAGTCAACAAAAAGGAAATAGGTGTATAGATATGTGATTTTGAGATTAAAGTCAGTCTAAAAATGTAACTAAAATGTGCAATGTGTCCTCAAAAAAAAGCACTAGTACCTAAATATATTAGTAATTACTGTATTCCTTATCACAATGTACTCATAGAAAAAAAATGCCAGTTTCACTCAAGCATATTTTTGATGAAGCAGTAAAAAAGATTAACACTATTAAATCTTGACCTTTGAGCACATGTCGTTTTAACAGTCACTGTGAAAAAATGGAAGTTGCTGCTGCATCTGGAAGTATGTTACCTTGAGGATAATCTTTTACGTAAGTGTTTGAGTAGTGAACTGAATCACTCTTTTCATGCATTACCATTTTTTCTTGAAAGAACTGGCAGATAAACTTTAGTTTGTCAGATGTGCATTTTTTTCAATCTTTTTCTTTCTATTGTCTAGTTTGGATGATTTCTGTTCAAGTTGACTCTTCTGTAATCTATCTACATTTTGTGGTTCAACCCATTGATAACATTTTTTATTTCAGTTGTATTTTTCAATTCTAAAATTTCCTCTTGTTTCTTATCTTCTATTTTTTTTTTGCAGAGACTCTTTATATTTTCATTCATTTCAAGAATGTTTGCTCTGGACACTTCTTGGTGGTCTAATGGTTAGGATTCGATGCACTCAAGAATGTTTGCCCTTACTACTTACAGCATGGTTATAATAGCTGCTTTAAAGCCTTTGTATGATTATGTCAACATCTTTGTCATGTTGGGGTTGGTATTTGTTACCTTTTCCCTTGCAATATGTTGAGATTTTCTTAACTCCTCATATGTTGGGTGATTTTGGATTGCATCCTGAACATTTTGAATATTATGTAATGAGACTGTGAGTCTTGTTTAAATCCAAAAGAAAATTATGATTTGTGTGTGTGTATTTTAACAAGCAGTTAATGTGGTTAGGCTCAGGCCACAGCTTTCTATCTTCTGTAAGCTGTGGTTCCACTGTCACCTAAGTTTCCAAAGACTTTGTAGTGTTATTCAAATCGGTTCTGTATGCATGACGTCCAGTGGCATATTTGGGACTTTAAAAGTGGCCAACTCCACAGAGTTCCATTTTCAGAAACTCTTTGGAGTCTGAGCCATGCATGTTGAACTTGGGGATGGCTCAGAAGTTTATGTGCAACTTTATGGGATTGCTTTCTTTTCTTCTTTTTAATTATTATGAGTACATAATAATTGTATACCTTTATAGGGTACATGTGATGTTTTGATACAGGCATATAAAGCAAATTAATCAAATCAGAGTAATTGGGATATCCATCACCTCAGGCATTTAACATTTGTGTTAGAATATTCCAATTCTACTATTTTAGTTATTTTAAAGTATACCTTATTGTTGATTATAGTCACTTTGTTGTGCTATCAAATATTGTTCATTCTATCTAACTATATTTTTGCACACATTAACCATCCCCACTTTATGCCCCCATCCCCACTTTATGCTCCCATCCCCAATACCTTTTCCAGCCTCTGGTAGTCATCATTCTACTCTCTGTCTCCATAAGATCAATTATTATTATTATTTTTTTTTTGAGACAGAGTCTCACTTTGTTGTCCAGGCTAGAGTGAGTGCCATGGCGTCAGCCTAGCTCACAGCAACCTCAAACTCCTGGGCTCAAGCGATCCTCCTGCCTCAGCCTCCCAAGTAGCTGGGACTATAGTAGGCATGTGCCACCATGCTCGGCTAATTTTTTACATATATATATCAGTTGGCCAATTAATTTCTTTCTATTTATAGTAGAGACGGGGTCTTGCTCTTGCTCAGGCTGGTTTTGAACTCCTGACCTTGAGCAATCCGCCCGCCTCGGCCTCCCAGAGAGCTAGGATTACAGGTGTGAGCCACCGCGCCCGGCCTAGATCAATTATTTTTAATATTTAGCTCCCACATAAGAGTGAGAATATATGAGATTTGTCTTTCTCTGCTTGGCTTATTTCACATAACATAATATAATGTTCTCTGGTTCCATCCATGTTAATGCAAATGGCAGGATTTCATTCTTTTTATAGCTATATAATAATCTATTGTGCCTATGTATCATAATTTATTTATCCCTTCATCCACTGATGGACACTTAGGTTGATTCCAAATCTTGGCTATTGTGAATAGTGCTGCAATAAACATGGGAGTACAGATATCTTTTTGATATACTGAACTCCCTCCATCAGATATATACCCAGCAGTAAGATTGCTGGGTCATATGGTAGCTCTACATTTAGTTTTTTGAGGAATCTCCATACTGTTGTCCATAGTGGTTTCACTAATTTACATTCCCACCAACAATGTATAAAAGTTCGCCTTTTTCCACATCCTCACTAGCATTCATTATTGCCTGTCTTTTTGATGAAAGCCATTTTAGCTGGGATGAAATGGTATCTCATTGTAGTTTTGATATGCATTTCTCTGATGACTAATAATGTTGAGGATTTTTTCATATTCTTGTTGGCCATATGTATATCTTTTTTGGGAAAATTCTAATCAGATCCTAATCTATTCAGATCCCCACTATCAAACATCTCTTGGCAGGAACATTTGGCATCAGATTTGTCCCTCTGCTTCATCTGCAGAGGTAGTTCTACCTTCTCTGTCAAATATATTCCTCTCTTTAACAATACTCAAAAAGGATCCCTACTGCTGGTGGCTCTGTTCCAGCAGGAATTAAAAATAAAAAATAAATAAATAAATAAAAAAAAGGATCCCTTACCTGAGACTCTATAAAAGTAACAATTAAAATTAGTTTTGGTTGAAGTGGAACCTAATCCAAATGAAGAAATGCACCATTTTCAATAATTAAGCTTAGTGTTGCATATAATATATAAAATGCATTTATATTTATATATACTTATTTGTTGTTCACAGCAACCTTATGGAATGAATATATGGCTGTGACTACTAATCTCTTAGCCAAGAGTTGCAAGGGGATACCTGCCCAAGTTCTGTCCTGGGTCTTTTTCTGACATCTGGGTCCTTTATAATTTGTTTTGTTGTCCCATTCTGATCCACATCCCATTCTGAAACACTTGGTTCCATGTCAATCTGCTCAGTTACTTGTATCAAAACTGCTAGACTAACTACAGAGGGTATTCATTCTCTGTGTCTCCAGGTCTCATAGTTCACTCTTTGAAGTAAAGATTTCCACTATGTCCATAGCTCTGCATATTCTTGTTTATATTTAGCACCATACATAACAAATTCCAGAAAGCAGACAATTCAGTTCTACTCTAACATAAAATTCAACTCTATGCTAATAAAAATCCTACTATAAAATTTCACTTCAAAATGACACTGAAATTGCCAGAGAATGACTGTGGTAGTTGGATTGAGAAGACTGGGGTATCTAAGAAGAAAAATAGTTACTTATGGGATAAATGCTTTCCAGTCAGCTCTCTTCTGCTATTCCAAAACCATTAATCAGAGCTTTTTTTCCTCCCCCCACTATCAAACATCTCTTGGTAGCAACATTTGGCATCAGATTTGTCCCCCTGCTTCATCTCCAGAATTTTGCTGTGTGATTATTGTGAATTTCTTTATATGTGGGTTACATACACAGGACCATGTAACAGAATCTAAAACTCAGTATCTAAATACTAAAACTTTTTAAGTCTTTCATGTTTTGAAACTTGTCAATTGAATTTACACCCCTCTACTCAAAACTCTGTTCCCTTCCCTGCTCTAAAAGTGGAGATTGCCAAGTGAGAAGGTACACGTGGAGGCAGAAAGAATGGAGGAAAAAATAAAAGAAAAAAAGAGAGAAATAAGAACTAATTCCACTTTTCTTTTGGAATGATAGATTTTTGCTGAAAATAATGTCTTCCAATGGATGGTCATCTCACAACGTATATCAGAATTTCTCAGGCTCTATTCTAACTACAGATCATTGAGGACCCATCCCAGCATTACTGAATCAGAATATCTGCATCAGAGGCATTTTTAACAAGCACTGTTTATATACAAATAAGGGATTTAAAACAACTAGTATAAATGTCTCTGATTTTTAGATATTTATAAAGCAATATACCTCATTGCCCTTGTTTCTTCTTCATAATTTTCACAAGTTGTAGTAGCTTTTCAAATAAAGTGACCGGTTTGAAGCTGATAAATTTATTAATTTACCAAATGACTGCTGTAAAGATAAAAGTACAAAATAATAGAAATATTTGCCATCATGAATTCAATCATCCAATGAAGAAAAAAGACAAACACACGTGAAAAAGACTTAGAGTATGAGTGGTGTACTGGCATAGGAGCAGATACAATTGAAAGAGTATCTATGTGCTTAGGAAAGCAAGGTCAGCTGGTGGGCAAATAAGATGTCACTGGATGCCTTGCTCAGGAAGACAAAGAGTTTTAATCAAGAATTTTGGGCCGTGCGCGGTGGCTCATGTCTGTAATCCCAGCACTCTGGGAGGCCGAGGCGGGCAGATTGCTCCAGGTCAGGAGTTTGAAACCAGCCTGAGCAAGAGTGAGACCCCATCTCTACTATAAATAGAAAGAAATTAATTGGCCAACTAATATATATAGAAAAAATTAGCCGGGCATGGTGGCGCATGCCTGTAGTCCCAGCTACTCAGGAGGCTGAGGCAGAAGGATTGCTTGAGCCCAGGAGTTTGAGGTTGCTGTGAGCTAGGCTGATGCCATGGCACTCACTCTAGCCTGGGCAACAAAGTGAGACTCTGTCTCAACAACAACAACAAAAAAAAGAATTGTGAATAATGAATGGTAATGGGGAACCCATCACTGTGTGGTAGAACAAGCTCTGGCCAAGAAGTGGGAAAGATGTTGTAGTTCCAGTTCTGCAGCTGTGTGATGCTGAGCAAGTCTTCTAATTTTTTATTCTGTTTTTCGTTTGCATAATCAAGGCCAATCTTCATTTTTTTCTTTTTTTTTTTTTTTCGGCATATTACGGGGGTCCAGATTTTAAGGTTTCAATAAATGCACTTTTCCCCCTGCCGCCACAAGTCTGAGTTTCCAGCATGACCATTCCACAGATGGTGCTTTATGCTCCATCCTCATTTGAGAAAATATTTAAGCAGAGAATATATACAAGTTTATTCTGGCACTAATATTCACTGAGTCTAAATTTATCCAAGATTTTTTTTTAGAGCAAACGTTTGGTGACACTATAGCTCAAACCCTCACAACCATGAAACACAGAAGACAGGAAATATTAATAAATGCCAATTGTAACCTACTATTGTCCATAGGCAATCATTCTGTGTACACATATCTTATAACTGTGACATCATAGAACTGAGATTCAATCAGAGTTCTAAGAGGTTGTATTTGTCTGATGAGGCACGCCAGCGGCATATCCCTGGTAAAACCATAGGCTCCCATTCAGAGATGTTCATTTGTTTGATGCAATGGTATTTTTCTCAGCAGTTTTTTCATAGCATCTTTGACTTCTTTGTTTCTTAAACTGTAAATTATGGGGTTCAGCATAGGCGTGAGCACTCCATAAAGCAACGAGATGATTTTGTCTATTTTTTGTGAGTTTGATGAAGAAGGCTTTAGGTACATGGAGAGGGCAGCCCCATAATACAAGATCACCACAGTCAAGTGAGCACCACAGGTAGAAAAAGCTTTGTTTCTTCCCTCTGCAGAGTTGATTCTCAGAATTGTAGAAAGGATGAAGACATAAGAGATGAAAATTAAGAGCATTGGAATGGGCAGGAGGAGAACACTGACCACCAGCATGATCATATCCATGAGTAGCGAACTTGTGCAAGCCAACTTTAGCACCGCCAGAATTTCACATGTGAAGTGATCTATGAGATTCCCACAGAGGGGTATCTGCAGGGCGAAACTGGTTTCTAGGCCGGCAGTCAGACAACCCGTCACCCAGGAGACCATGGCCATCTGCATGCAGACCTGCTTGTTCATGATGATGGGGTATCTCAGTGGGTTGCAAATGGCCACATAACGGTCAAATGCCATCACAGCCAGGAGCACACACTCTGTGGAGCCCATGGCAAGGGACAGATACATCTGTACAGCACACCCAGAAAAGATAATGGTTTTCTGTGAAGACAGCAAGTTCACCAGCAAAGTAGGAATAGAGGCAGATGTGTAACAAATATCCATGAAAGCGAGATTTCCGAGGAACAAGTACATGGGGGTTTGAAGGTGTAAATCTAGGATAGTGATTAAAATAAGAGTGCTGTTGCCCAAGAGTGTTATCAGGTACATTACAAGGCTAAAGACAAAGAGAACCACCTCTAACCTTGGGTAATGGGAAAATCCCTCCAAGAAAAAAATGCTCAAAATGGTGAGATTTTCTCTTTGCATTTTCTTTCTTTCAGTTGTAGTTATTCTAGTAGTATTCTCTTCGTTTCATCTGAGGACATAAAGAAATGAATAAAGTGTAATGTTCATTTAGTTAGGAAAACACTCTCAAACTTATTTTCGCTGTTATAAATGTAATTTTACCACAAGAAATCACAGGGTAGTGTCCTTTAGGGGGAAAAACAAGTTTGATCTACATGAAAAGTTGATTCTTCTACAATAAAATTTAGAAAACAGTGAATTTTAAACCAAGAATAAACATTTAATATTTGAATTTCAGTTCATAATCCTATCCTTGGCACAGTAATTTTTCAATAAAGATTTGAAAGTGGCTGAATGAGGAAAAATATGGATGTATATTGAATAAATTATTGAGCATAAATTAGAAAAGTAAGCCAGATAAGTGAGGAAAAGAAAGCTCATTTGTACAATAAAAACTAGTAATGATCTTTGCTGGTGGAAGAGAATGAATGAGAAAGAAGAGAAAGGAAAGGAAGGGAGGAAGGGAAGGAGAGGGGGAAAGAGGAAGAAAGAAAAAAAAGAAAGGAAGAAAGAAGAAAAAAGAAAAGAAAGGAAAAGAAAAGAAAAGAAAAGAGAAAAGAAAAAAGTTAATTTTAAACTACCACCTATAAAGTTCTGAGTCTAAATGAACTTTGTCCTTTACGGATAATAGCTTGGAGGTCTGTACACTGGTTTCAAAAAGGATGGCACTGCTTTGAAACATTGTACCTACTCATTTATTTAAGAACACGCAAAATAACCCACTTCATTTAAACACTGATACATCTACTGTAGAGTTTTATTCATTATTGAGCCCCATACTTTTGTATATTAAAGAGTTCTAAAAATTATACCTAGGCTATACCTTTATTTTACATTAAAACACAGGAATATTCAGGGAATGCAGAAATTAAACTCCTTTAGAAAATTACCATAAGATATCTTTGAAAGTAAGATTATAGATCATCTAGTTATAAATAAGACAATTAAGATTTTATTTATATTTTTACATTTTACAGTATACATAAAATATTATTCCAAAAAGCTTACCTTGCTTCTGCGCTTATATTGCTCTTTAACATCTTCAACCTTTTCCTGCTCCTCTGACTCTTTCCTTTCTATTTTCAAATATACATGTTCTTAAAATATTCTCTTCATTGTCACACTATCTATGCAATCTGCCATCCTTCTTTTGTTCTTTCTCTCATAGACAAATCTCTCAATTATACGATTTGTAATATTTCAGTCTTCTTTTCTCATCCGTAGTATTCTTTCCTAGTTTCTAAACTTCAGTCAATGCTATCATTCTTTTGCCAGTTCTCCATATTTAAAAAGCTAGCTGGTATGGTGAAAATAGTGATGTGTGACAATATCTTATATTACTATGCCCCTATGATAGGTGCATAAAAATTTTCAAATTGTTTTTATTATATTACTATCTTTGACTTCTTCAACCATATATCTAGCTTATTAACAAGCCCTTTAATTTTTTTTTTTCTGTTTTAATCATCAGTCCCTAAACAGCTTACCTGGCAGGTCCAAATATTATCAGTAATGCTGAATATACCTTTAGTATTCGGCAGTACTACTTCCTTCCTTGGTTATCAAACATGCAGAGTTTTTGCTTTTCATCTCAAGATTTCCAGTTTTTCCTTCATCACAGTAGTTGGTTCTTACTCATTTGTTAGTTAACAGACTATTTCTTATGGATTTCTCTGCCAGTTTTTAACAGATTCTCTACAAAAAAGATTATTATAAAAGATTACTTTAAGGAAACTTAATTTTTTGTTCTCTTGTTAAGACTAGCAAATATAATTTTTTTAGGATAAAAAATCAGCCCAATTGCCTGGGATTTGATATTTTCTATAGTCTAAAAATAGTAGCCAAGAAAAATTTATCCTCGCCTGTGAATTTCCTGTCACCAACTCCAAATGAAATGTTGTTTATGTTTCAGATGGTTAGCTACATGCAAGAAAGAATGAATACTTGTGTTAAAATGTTAAATGTTATTATGTAAAAATCAATAGTGCAATTCATTTCTTTAAAAATTATTGACTTACCACTATAACTAAAAATGCCAAAGGATAGTAACAAAAACACTAAGGAAATTTAAACCATTTGTTGTTTTGGGGGAATACCTGTTGTCTCTGAACAATTTAAAGTTCAGCAGTTGTAATACACAGAGGTTTGAAACTTCAGATCCTTCAGGGATAATGTCCCAAAGATCCAATTATATCAAACATAAAAAGTCAGATAAATAATGAACCACAGCTCCGCCAAAATACTTTAAAAGAAATTATAAAAAGTTTTCTATGCCCCCTCCCCTTGTCAATCCCTAACTATATCAAGACATTTTTTTCATGAATGATTACAGCATATAACATCAAAAGAATACAGAAAAAAAGATGTCCTTATAATTCTAAAATATATTTTTTTCTACTTGTGAAATTACTCCCTAGTTTTTAGAAATTAAGAAATGTATACTCTTTTAAGCCACAAAAAAATCACTGAATCCCAACAATGATCAGAAATTGTATTCAATATACACATTTTGAGAAGACCTTAAGACAATGTAACCTCAGCAGTAATGAATATACTTACCACCCAAGATTTTGGTTTCTAAACACCATTCTCAACTAGAAGGAAAGATGGCTCCTTGGAAAAATGGCTTAAACCAGTGCTACAGCAGGGAAAGGACAAGATTAATTTAGAGTATCTTATCATACTAGAATGTAAGAAGTATGCAAAGAATGATGGAGATATAACAAAAGGTCATAGAAGCCCACTAAACAAAACCCCCATTGCCAAATCTGGGACAGATTAGAGTATCAAAATAAAAAATGATAATAAAGGATTATAATTCATAGAATAAAATAAAAATGCCTGAGTTTATTATGAGATGAATAAAATAAGAATGAAAATCTCTTCCTCACAGTGAGATGCCAAAATATGAATATAGAAGAATGATATTAGAAAATAATCACAGTTAAAGGTTATTGTAGGCAATAGATTACCATAGGTAAAGGTTGTATTAGGTAAATATACATATTATAGTTGTTATAGGTAAAAGTTGGATGAGGAACAAGATATTTACATGATATCAAAATAACTCACCACAAATTACTTAATAATTTCAAAGATAAAATAATAAATTTACAGTAAGGAGACTTGGAGGACAACCACCTTAACATCACCAATATTGGGACAAACTGTCTCCATGTATGCCTTCTGATATGATACACTGAGGACATAATATCAGCTCTGTGATATTCTTATCAAAATAAACCACCTGAATCTAATCATAAGGGAAAACCAGCAAACCTAAACATAGGGATATTCCATAAAATAAGCAGCCTATACTTTTCAAAAATAACAAGGTCAGGAAACAAAAAGTAAGACCAAGAAAATGTTCCAAACTAAAAGAGATTAAAAAGACATGACGACAAAATGCAATACATGACCCAGCATTGAATCTTAGACTAGGAAAACATTAGCTACAAAAGACATAATTAGGACAATAAATACAATTCAAATATGGGCTGGGGATGAGATATTAGCATTGCATCAGTGCTAAATTTTCTGATCTTGCTAACTGTGCCATGGTTATATAAGAAAATGCCCTTGTTCTTAGGAAATACATATTGAAGTAGTTAGTGTTAAAGGGGCAATATGTCTGCAACTTACCTACAAATAGTTCATAAAAAATATGTTTTTTAAAAGTTCACTCTAGTTGTATGTGGCGAGCAGATGCATTTATTACCGCATTCTTTTTGCAACTCATGCATTTCTCATATTTTCTGTGTCCTTATGACAGTTCATTTACTCTGGATCACTGAGGGTAAATGAATGCTCCAGATAGAGGACCGTTAGGAGAACTTGGTCATACCATATGAATGAGTAAACTTTTACCATCTTAGGAAAAGAAGAGAAGTAACAACAACTACATGGAATAATATAAGAATTAAAAATAAAGTTAATTCAATGGTAGAATGATATTTTGGGGATAATGGGCTAGAGTGGCCCACACAGCAGGAGCTTGAAATAGTTAGACTGGCTGTACCCAATGGGTGTGTTTGATTGCAAAACATGGGAAACATCATAGAGTTAATGACTCCATGTTTTAATAATATTAATCTGGAAACTTTATTTTCCCAAAGGTCAGTGTTCACAATAAATTCCTCCCATCATCAGGCAGCAAGACAACAAGAATTTTACAAGAAAACTGACAATAAGATGATTTTCTATGTAGAAAATCTGAAAGAATCAACAAAAAACCAGAACTAATAATAAGCAATTACAGTAATGTTTCAGGATACAAGATTAATATACAAAAGTCAACTGCTCTCCTGTATACCAGCAATGAACAAGTGGAATTTGAAATTAAAAACACAATACCATTTACATCAGCACCCCAAAAGTAAAATGTCTAAGTATTACATATATAATATATAAGCAAAATACATATAAGATATATATGAGGAAAATTATAAAACTATTTTGAAGGAAATCAAAGAACTAAATAAATGAAGAGATGTTCTATGTTCTTGGATGATAGGGAGAGTCAATATTGCCAAGATGTCAGTTCTTTCCAACTTGATCTATAGATTCAATACAATCCCAATCAAAATCCCAGGAAGTTATATTGTGTATATCAATTAACTGATTCCAAAATTTTTATGCAAATTGTACAGCTACTTTGGAAGACAGTTTGGCAGTTTCTTACAAAGCTAAATATAATCTTACCATATGATCCAGTAATCATGCACACTGGTATTTACTTGAGGGGGTTGAAAACTTATGTCCACACAAAAACCTGCACATGGATATTTATAGCAGCTTTCTTTACAATTGCCAAAACTTTGAAGCTACCAAGATGTCCTCTAGTAGGTGAATGGATAAATAAACTATGGTACATCCAGACAATGGACATTATTCAGCACCCAAAAGAAATGAGTCATCAAGGTTGAAAAGACATGGAGGAAACTTAAGTGCATATTACTAAGTGAAAGAAGCCAATCAGAGAAGGTTACATACTATATATTCCAACTATGTCTGTAAAAGACAAAAGTGTGGACACAGTACAGCTCAATGGTTGCCAGGGGTTCAGGGTGGGAGGAGGTATGAGTAGGAGGAGCACAGAAGATTTTTAGGGCAGTGAAAATACTCTGTATGATAACTATAATGATGGATACATGTCATTATATGTTTTTCCAAACCCATAGAACATACACCACCAAGTGAACCCTAAGGCAAACTATGGACTTTGGGTAATAATGATGTGTCAGTGTTGGTTGATCAATTGTAACAAATGTACCACTCTGGTTGGGGATGTTAACAATGGGAAAGGCTGTACACATGAGCTATCAATTCTGCTGTGAACATAAAACAACTCTAAAAAAATAAAGTCTTAAAAAATAATAATTATAAAAATATATTGGTGGACACTAAGCTAATTTTAAGATAAGAGTAATAATTTTCATATCAATAGCTATCATTTATTGAATGAGTGTCACATGTCAAATTATTAGGCAAAGCATCTTACAGATATTATCTGTAAAATTATATGAGGTAGGAATGATTAACATCTCTATTTTACAAAGAAGAAACAAGCTCAGGGAGGGGAGGCATGGTCATGCCACAGAGCGAACAAGATGTTTGAGTTGGAATTTGCAACCAAGTCTGTATACCTCTAAACCTGGCTTCATCCCACTTAAAGTTTGGTTGGTTGGTTGGTTGGTTGGGAAGTTGGTGGGTTTTCACAGGATTAAAAGAGGTATACATGTAAAGTACGTAGAGCAGTGTCTGGCCCTGTATGACTTGAGCAATTAAACTTATTTAGATACAGTGGTCAAGAACGTGAACTCTTCACCATGTGTTTGAACGTTTCGTTATTTAACTTTTTCTTGAAAACTCTGTGCTTTAGTTTATTCATCTGGGAATGGGTGTAATAATAGTACTTCCTTCACATTAGAGAACCAAAAGAGTTAATATGTAGAGAGAAAGTGCCTGGCACAGAACAGGTGCTGTGTTGGTAAGTGCTACAGTTGGGCCTGACTATCTCCTACCATCAACAGTAGAAAATAGGAAGCATCATAAATGGCCAACAAAGCAGAATGACAAATTTAAAATGTTATAACCAAATATTGGAATACTATTCCCCCGTTCAAAAGCATGGTTTTAAAGACTACATAGAGACAGAAGACAATTCTCATGATACAATGTTAAATAAAATACAGGATTCAAAAATGTCAGCAGAATGTTTTCAACAATTTTTTTATATATATACATACAGTATTTGTGTTTATATACATATAATGTGCAGAAAACAGATTATTAAAGAAATATTTATAATGGTAAAAAATTGATAATAAGATATTGAATAAAAATAACAGGAACTGATATTAGAGAACAGATAAAATTATCACTTGCAAACTATATGATTTTATATATAAAAAAGAATAAGAGAATCAACTAAAATGTTCCCCAGAAATAAAGAGTTTAGTAGACTAATAAAATATAAATAAATAAAAACTAATGATTTCCTTGCAGCCAGTTGGAAGATAGAACAACCAGAAAAAGATTCCATTATCAGTTGTATTAAAATTTTAAGATAATTTAGAATGGCTCTAAAAAGAACAGTGCAGAACTTACATAAAAGAAACAATAAAATTTTAACAACAGCCCTAACCAATAAGCTGGATGGATACTGAGGTAAAAGCTAAAGTCTACCTCCAAACAGATATTATTTTCATCAATAAAAATAATTCTTTTCTAATAAAACAAAAATAAAGCCTTCAGTACTCAAACAAAATGTTTTCATAAAAAGATGGTGGAAATAAAAGAGGTTTTCAAGCATTTTTCGAAAAACCAAACAAAATAACTGTAAGGGAAAAAAATGCTATTTAATAACAAAACTTAAGCCACTTTACCTTTTAGAAGAGTGGCATAATGATCTCATCTCCTGGTTATTTAACTATTTTATTTAGGAAAAAACACCTAAAGGGGGCTGTTTTACTGTTAAAGGAAATCCTGGGCTAGTTCAAATGGGAAAGGTTACAATAAAGATAACTATTATTAAATTGTTCTGTTTAATAATGATCTTAGAGGATTTTAAATTTTATTCCTAGTTTTTTGAGGATGGGCTTAGAACACTGGAGAAAGGAGAGGGGAGAAGGTATCAGAAAGAGGAGGGAGAGCCCAGAAACCTTGCAGAAATACAGAATCCAGAGAAACTAGCCAAAGAAAAATATCCAACAGCAGGGAAGATTAAGGATCTGTGAAAATAGTGAGATCTCATATTGAATTTTAGGTTGTTGGTTGGTCTCGGCTATTGTCTACTCCCCTCCCTTACTCCCAAACATTTAATTAAAGTCATGTAAACACAGCAGTCTTGGATAATGGAGGTTTGATACTGGAAAAACAGGATTGGCCACCAGAATGGAGGGTTCAAGGCATTTAAGGATATCCCTGTCCAATCATTAGTTGACCATTAAGCTGAGCAGAGACTTTAGTGGTGAGATATAAAAAAAGAACTGAGACTTTACAGAACAAGTTCAGAAAGTCACTTTAAGTAAAAACCAACAGAAACCACAAACCCTGCAATGAGAAGGGAATCTAGTTTCCATTTTAAATACTTAATATTTTAGAAATTTCACTTAATATATTTCAATCCCATTAAAAATATTTTAAATGTCTGGTTCTCAATAAAAAATTACAAGACATGTAAAAAAACAGAAAAGTATGGCCCATATTTTATAATGATAAAAGGGTTGATACATCAAGAAGATACAATAATTATAAATATACACATACCTAAATCAGAGTCCCAAAATATTTGAAACAAAAACTGACAGAATTGGAGAAAAATAGACAATTAAACTATAATAGTTGGAGACTTTAATACTATACTTTCAATAATTGATAGAACAACTATGACAGAAGATCAACAGGCTATAGAAGGCTGGAACCACACTATAAACTAACTAGGCTTAACCATAGAACACTGTAGAACACTCCACCCAACAGCACATGCTCATGCACGTACACATTCTTCTCAAGTACACATAGGAATTGCCAGCCCTGCTTCCCTCACAAAAGTGACCACTCTCCTGAACTCTAATTCAGGGTAGTTTTGCCTGTTATTGAATTTTTAAAAAATAAAATCATATGATATATACTATGGTGTGTTTGGTATGCTTCTCTCCACAGTATTCTTGCAAGATCTATCTATGTTGTTGGGTCTGCAGTTTGTCTATATTTATTGCTGTTATTGTCTATTTTATAAATATAACATACTTTATCCATTGTTCTCCTGTTAGAAATTTGAACTTTCTCCAGTTTTTGGCTATTTCAACTAATGTTGGTATAAACCAATATATATGTCTTTTGACTGGGTGTATATATGCTTAGGAGTAGAAATAAGTGATAGAACATGCTTAAGACAACTTTAGTAGATTGTGCTAAAAGATTTTCCAATATAGTATGCAAATTTATACTACTACCAGGAGCACCAGTTTCCTATGCATGCATAAAAAACTAACCCAAAATTTAGTGATGTAAACAATACCCATTTTCTTATATATTGTGGATGCGCGAGTTAGGAATTCAGACTACTTAAGGGAAATATTTGTGAGAGATTGTGTAATAAAAACTTAGCAAGGATTTTGGATTAGAGATTTTTTTTTCCTTTAGCTAAGAGTTGGCTCAATCTGTGATCAGAACTGATGGGCTAATCCTCAATTATAAGGGCTGATAAATTTAATTAAAGGTGAGGATTCATTCTGGGAATTAATATCTTTTAGGGATTCAAAGAGACAGTTATTTCACTAAGGAATTTATGGTCTAATATTGGGAGTTAGATATTAAAAGAACACCTAAAAGCATTCAGATTTTATATATTAATACTTCATGATGGAATTATGTGAGTACAAACATATAGAGGAGCCACTGAGGTTTTTCTCCAGAAGACTCCAAGCATATAGTTAAGAATTTAATGGTAAACAAGGAAGTCTCATGAAGCCTTATTTTCTAAACATGGAACTTCTAGCTTAGCACATTCTTGTGTCTAAAAGCTATTCTGATTGACAAAAGAATCAGGTGAAAGCATAAACTTACAAGTCTTGAAGAGTAGGCAGTAATAACATCAATAAAGAGTTTTTGTGCCATATTAAGTAGGTTGAATTTAATTCTGTGGACAATGGAGAGCTGTTTTAAATAAGGCAGAAATATAATTTGGTTTACAATCACAATCAAGATATAGAATATTCCCATCACCCCAATAAATTTTCTTGTGCCCATTTTCAGTCAATTCTCTCTCCTGACCCCATACCTCAACTACTAATCTGATTTCTGTCACTATTGTTTTGCCTTATCTACAATTTCATATGAATAGAATTCTATAATATGTAGTCTTCTCACTTAACAAAATGTTTTATGCTTGTATCAGTGTTATTTCTTTTATTGCTGGGTAGTATTCCACTGTGTAGATCAATCACAACTGTTTTCTCAGTTGTTAGACATTTGGATAATTTTCAGTTTTGAGCTATTATAAATAATTCTACTGTGGATATTTACTTACCAGTCTTTGTACAAATACAGATTTTTATTTGTCTTGGGAAAATACCTGGTATAAATTTCTAGGTCATAGTGCTGGCAAATGCTTAACTTCACATGATATGCCAAATTGTTTCTCAAAGGTGTGGTACCATTTTGCAATTCCATTAGCAATATGAGAATTCCTTTTGCTCTGTATCTGTATCAGTGCTTGGTATTGTCACTCTTTTTGATTTCAGCCATTTCAATGGTCTTTAGTGGTATTTAGTGTTGTTGTTTTTTTTCAGGAAATACAACATATTTTAACAAGTAGTGTTAAGATAATAACCAATGTTTTTATCCATAAATTATAAATATTCAAAAATGCTCCAACCTGTTCCAATGGATTACCTTTTTAAAAACAGCTTCATTGAGCTATAACTCATGTACCATATAGTTCACCCACACTAAAAGTGTAAAATTCAATAATTTTAACTGTATTTAGAGTTGTGCAACTATCGGCACACAATTTTAGAACGTCATCACCCATAAAAAAAAATCCCACACTCACTGGCAGTCATTTTTCCCCCAATCCCAGGAAACCATTAATCCACTCCATTTGTAAAGATTTGCCTATTCTGGATACTTGATATAAATGGAATCACACAGTATGCTGTCTTTTAAACTGGCTTCTTTCACTTACTGTACGTTTTCAAGATTTGTCCATGTTGTAACATGTATCATTATTTCATTCCTTTTCATTGCCTGATAATATCCCATTCTATGGATATATCATTTAATTTTTATCCAATCATAAGTTGATAAACATTTGGGTTATTTCTACTTTTTAAATACATTAAGTTTTGTGTGAACATATGTTTTCATTTCTCTTGTATATCTAGCAATGAAGTTTCTGAGTTCTATGTTAACTATATGTTTAAACACATGAGGAACTGCCAAACTGTTACCCAAAGTAGCTGCACCATTTTACATTCCCACAAGCAATGCACAAGGGTGCCAATTTCTCTACTTCCTTACTAATGTATGTGTCTTGTTTATTATACCTATCCTCGTCAGTTTGTACTCACATCTCATTATGGTTTGCAGCTGCAATCCTCTAATGGTTATTTTTAGCAATTATTCATGTACATATTGGCAATTTGTGTGTCTTCCGTGGATAAATGTCTATGCAGATCCTTTGCCCATTTTTAAAATTGGGCTTTTTAATTATTGAGTTGTATGAGTTCTTTATATATTCTGGATACAAGTTCCTTATCAGGTATGTGACTTGAAGATATTTTCTCCCAATCTATAGGTGTCTTTTCACTTTCTTGCTAGTGTCCAGTGGAAACACAAAAAGATTTTAATTTTGATGGAATGGAATTTATATATTTTTTCTTTTGTCTCGAGTTTCTATGTGTCATGTCTAAGAAGTCTTTGCCTAAACCAAGATCATAAAGATTTACTTCTATATTTTAAGAGTTTTATAATAGTGCTTACATTTAAGTCTGATCCACTTTGAGTTCATTTTTTCTAAGTCCAACTCCATTCATTTTCATGTAGATATCTAGTTGTGCCAGCATCATTTGTCAAAGTCTATTCTTTCGCTTTTGAAGGGATTTGATACCCTGTTGGAAATCAACCCTAAATGTGCGGCTTTATTTTTGGACTCTCAAGTCTATTCTTCTAATCTATATGTCTATGTTTTGCCAGTTGCACAGAGATTTGATTAATATAGTTTTGTAGTAAGTTTTGAA